GTCGTGCTGGGATTTTGTGAGACACCCCCCGCCTCCCACCCAAGATGTGCAGGTATTTTATCTATCGTCCATCCCTATCTATCTGTATCTATCTATCTATCTATCTATCTATCTATCTATCTATCCGTCTATCTATCTATCTGTCTACCAACCTACCTACCTATCATCTTCAAACTGGCCTCAAATGACCTGATTCCAGTGAAAACACAAGCCCAGTCCCCTAGGGGCCATAGGGGCAATGGATACCCTCCCTGGCACTTAACTGCCCCCTACAGAGCACTGTGAATTCAATCAATCTCTGCTGGTCAGTCGAGTGCCCAGTGGAGGCTGCATTCAAACGCGTGAACCTGTCTGTCTGGCAGGTAAGTGTGGCCCCAGCTCACTGGTTTCTGGATGGGAGTGCACCCTCTGGGTGACAAGGACACTGGGCAGTGCTCAGCTAAAGGAACAGTCATCTCGGTGTCCCTGCACGGCAGGACCTGGGGCAGCGGCAAACAGGAGCCTCGGCCAAAGGCCAGAGCCATCCTGACGCTGCTGCTGGGCTTGGTGGAGGCGGGAAGCCTGAGCCGTTTCAGGCCATGCACGGCTCCCCCCTGGAGAGCCCGGGGCCCCTCACCCTTGGGGTGTGTCCACCTGTGGCTTCTCCCTGGAGGACCCCACATTCTGCCCCCGTTACCCCAACCACCCTTCCTGATCCTGCTGTGTGTCTTTTCCATCCAGCAGAAGTGGGAAAATCTTTAGACCCCTGTGATTTCCCTGCCCTGTGACTCACTCAAGACACTCTCTCTGCTACGAAGACCCACAGGGAGCCCCGCTCCCAGGGGTCACCATGCCCTGTCGTGTGGGACAGCTGTACGTGCCCTTGTCATTGACGCTGGAGCCTGTTCCAAGGCTGCAGTAGGCCCCACCTGTCATTCCTGCAGCGCCTTAAACGCCCTGTCCATCCTCACCCACGTGGAGCTCTGACCCCTTCCCGTGGGTCAGGGAGGTGACAAATTCATGCTTGTCTGGCGGGGAGCCAGCCGTCCGCAGGCCCCGGCTGTCTGCGGGTTTGGCGTCCACCCTTGGTTTGCTACCAGGAACAGAATCTTCAGGTGAGATTCCCAGCGGGTGAGGTCCTGCCCCCGTCCCCCTCCGGGCAGCTCAGCTCATCCTGAAGACCAGGGAGGGGCTTTCAAGAGGTCAAGGGGGCGACATCACAGCCACAGCCTCACACCACTTCCGGCTCCACCCGACACTCCCAAGGTCATTGACAGCAGAGCACAGACATGAGCCTGGCCTCTAGTTGGTTAGAGATGGGACAGGTGTGTTTCCAAGAGGTCAGGTCAGCTCAGGGTCTGAATCTACACTTAACTCTTTATTGGCAAATTGGGTCAACAGATGTCAACACCCGTGGCAACAAAGGCAAGTGGACTTTGAGGGGACGACACAAAATTGTCCTCAGGGTTGGAGCTGAAGCCAATCCACAGGGGCCCCTGGGAGGCCCTATAAAGCCTCAGGGGCCCTGGAAAGGCAGCTCAGTGCCATGACCACTGGGCATTCGTGTCTGGAAGTGGTAGCAGCTGTTGGCCTACGGGAAGGCAGCTCATGGATGATTTTAAACCCTGGTGCTGCCCTGAATGAGAGGTGGCCTCCAGCATCCGGAGAGGCACAGGGTGAGTGGCATGGGTGAGGGACACCCTGCCCTGGCTTTTGGTGTCAGTGGGACCTCGTTCCCAGGCAGCTGTGTGGCCCCACTCTCTGTGGCATCTCTGGCAGCCGCTGATGGCACAGTGACTGAGGGATGTGGTCTCCCTGATAGGGTTCTCCTCAGGACCCGGGGTATTTCCCTGGGGAGAGTTGGAATAGCTGGGCAAGCGGGGACACCTGGTGGGGGGTGACACCCAGTGGAGCGGGATGCCCAGGGAAGCAGGGGCAGAGAGGGGCCTTGGGGCGGCAGGAGCCTGGCAGCCTGTGGTGTCTGCAAGGATATGGGCGGACCTCTGCTGTGCAGAGGAACCAGACACCGACCTTTGCCAAGACGACACTTCCATGGAGGTTGCCTCAGGGCCCCTCCCCACTTGCCCCACCACCCACTGGCAAAGACTGGCTGCGAACATAAACCAAAGTCCTCTCGGGTCCCTAAGAGTCCTGACCCACTAACGTCTGGGTGCAGATGTGATTCCTCACTGTTTTGGTAAACCACGGCTGAGGCCGCATGCCGTAAGAGGGGGTGACGGGTTAGGGTCTGACCATCTGAGTGGCAGCTGACTTTGCTGTTTCTGGGGAGCGTGACTTTGGAGAAATTACAGGCACTGGGTCCCTGCTGCAGAAAGTGTTTTGACGAGAATGCAACGAGCTGGTGCAGAGCGGATGCTGTGCCTGCGGTTCTGCCAAGCACCCTGTGGCCTGGGGGGTGGGTGCCGGGCGGGGCCTGTCCTCACTCTCCAGACGACACTTAGGTGGTGCCGGGCGAGTTACCTGCTATCACCCTCAGCTCTGACTCCCACCTGCCGGGGCTCTCGGGACTTTGTGGGAAAACTGGGCCCAGGGCCTGGGGCAGGGCCTGCCTAGGTGGTGCCTCGTCTGGGGTGGCTGCAGTGACAGTGGGACAATGTGGCCTTAGGGGGGCGCATGGTGGCCCCCAAACACTTCGAAGATGCCGTGTGGGCAGCGGCCACCACAGAGGCACCTCCCCAATGAGGCCGAGCAGGTGGCGGCGCTGGGCCGTGCTGCGGCCACCTGTCAAGTGTGCTGCGGGGCCGCACGCGGCCGGTCAGTTGTCCTCGGACAGGCTGGACCCCGCCCCCTGCACACTCATGGCCACAAGGCACCACGTGTGGTTGTGGTGCGGGTCCTGGGGAGGCCTGGAGGAACCAAGAGGATATGGGGAGGGCTAAACATTTTAAATGGAGGCCAGGGGGAGACGGGAAGGGGGTCCAGCAGGAGCCCAGAGGGGCTGGCGTAGAGCTCCCTGATGGTGGCAGAGGAGATGGGGGAGAGGACATAATCAAATTCAAAGATAGGCAACTTTGGGCACCTCTTGAACTAAAAATGGACAATTTAGGACACACACAAAGACCATTTCACACAATGGCTCACGATGAATAAACCCAAGAGATTGGGCTGAATAGACAGGAGGCCACAAACCAGCCAGTGGACGTACCCTCAGGGCCTGAGTGACCGTGACCACCCATCTCTGCATGTCTGCGGCCGGGCCTGGCCTCCCCGCTGCACTCACCGGCTGTCCGAGGAGGCGGCCTAACCGTCACCCTCCCCTACAGATGAGGTCCAGAGAAGTGCGCCCACCTGCCCAGGATCAGACAGCTAAAACCCAGATTGGTTTGGTTCCAAATCTGCCCTCTCTCACCAGGTTCCTCTGACTCATCCCGGGATGTCTGGGCATCTTCCCTGTGTCCTGCTTAGAGCGTGTTTTTGGTGCATCCATAGATGCAAGTGCCTGATGGATCTCGGATTTGACCCAGGAGAGCAGTGCTAATAATTTTCAGAATATTAAGTGTTTAAGGTCGAGGAGAAGAGAGGCAAGTGAGGGGATCAAACCTGAGTCCTTATTCCAGGACAGTGGTTCTTAATTTCTGCTGCACTTTGTAATCACCAGGCTGCACCCCTGATCAATCACATAAGATTTCTGGGGCTGGGACCCAGGCAGCAGGGATGTTATAAGTGCTGTGGGTGGAACCACTGTCCTAGAGAGACGGCCTCTGTGTCCACTGAGGGTATCGGTATAATAATATTTACTAATGTGTTCAAGTGGGAACGTCAGCAGCTGGGGATGCTGTGATTCTCATCTCAGGACCCCCTGCTACTGCTCCAGCAGCTGAGCCCTGGTGGCTCTGCAGCTACTTTAACAACAAGGAAAAGGTATTAGTGAAACCCAAGGGTTGATATTAATCAGAAAGAAAAGTCTTAAGCAAAAAGGTAAAAGGTAACTTTTGTTAAACAATGAACACTCGTGAAACAGCAATGAAATGGTATTAAAATGTCTGTGATTACGTAGTTCTCAGCATTCATCTGATAACTAAAGCAGCATGAAGCAACCGTTGCACTTAAAAAAAATGACAAGAAAATAGCTATTCATTTAGTTGACAGAGAAGGTTCTTGTCCTCTGTAAGATCACTAGTGTCACTGTCATCACCAAGGTGAATGTCAGCGCAGGGGGGTAGGAGCATCCCCCTGCGCTTGTCCTTACACTGAGGGGGCGTCTTGGCTCCTTGGCCTGGAGTTCCTGGAGAAAACCTGCGTCCTTCTGGGAGGAGTCTGGGGAGGGGCCTGCCTGCCCTGGGCCCCAGGTCAACAAGGCCCCAGGATTGCATATTGCCGCGTGGTGCCTGCGGAGTATGGACACGTTCCAGGGGAGGCCTGACGTTCCTAGGCTGGGGACAGCGTGGAGGGAGTGACACTCTGGGCCTGGGAACGACTCTGGCTCTGCATTCTCAGGGCTGGACCCCTCTGGAGAGCCGTGACAGCTGGGGGTCCTGCCAGCAGCTGCTCTGTCTCTCTTGCCACCCAGCCCATTGCCTTCCTGCAGGAAAGGCACGTGGACTGGGGGGCAGTGCCAGAGGAGTCAGGTGGGGCCACAGACAGAAGAGCACGTGTCCCCTGCCCTCTGCCTGTTGCACCATATTCCATAAAAATAAACACATGTTCCTGTTTGTCTATTGCTAATGTTACGGCATTCCAGGCACTGGCACCAGCATTAATCCACCAGAATCCATCCAGAGACAGCCGCGAGGGTCGGGATCTTTGGAGCTTCCATTCAGAAGGGTTAGCAGTGCCCATCTGTCCCATGCTCTGCACAGTGCTGTGAAAACGATATGAAAGGGTGAAAAAAGGAATCCATGGGCAGAAGGTCCCAGGGCTTTATGGCGTCGTTGGCAATGACTCACACTGTACAGCATCACACAGGTGTGTCTACCTGTGTGTCCACCCTTGCCAGGCCCGCTCCTCTGCACCCGCACACAACTGGCCCAGGCTCTTCATGCGCATGCGCCCGGGGAGGCTCATAGGTGGTTGCTCTTGGAGAGGTAGGCGATGAGGGCCACGGCCACGCCCACGTAGATGCCAGTCCCGATGGTGATGGAGAGCACGGCCAGGAAGAGGGCCCGCCGGGAGCTGGTGCTGGCCTGGTGAAAGTCCCCCTTGGCCACGGCTTTGTTCGTCTGCAGCGGGAGGAGGGAGAGGAAAAACGGGGCCAGGATGAGCAAGGCGAACCGAGAGGGGACTCACCGAGGGGGAGTTGTGCAGGGAAGGCAGGGGCGGCTGTCGCTCACCACTGCTCCCCCCTGCCCTGCAAGGCAGTCAAAGCTTAAGGGAAAGAAAGCGAAGCCCCAGGGATACCCAGGCCGGCAGTTGTCACTAGCCACGGGAGTCCCGGGTCTCGGGCACCAGGACGCGAGGGCATGGACGTCACAGCTCAGCGGCCCCCTTCTGCCCGGTAAAGATACGTGAACAGTTTTCTAAAGTGTGTTCACACTTACCTCCTCTGATCCCTACAGTGTACGGCGGTGTGGGGAAGGAAACGGTAATTCTTGTTACCCGGAGAGGAGCCCGAGGCGTAAGATCCTTCAGTGGACTGCGGGTACTGAGACTCCGCCCCTCAGCCGGCGGCGCGGGAAGCTGCGTGCCCGATGCCCCCTCCTGCCATGGCGGGGCCGGAAAATACATCCACCAGTGAAATAACTCGAGGTGAGGCCAGCGCCTCTATTTCTGGTCACCCGATTGCATAGCGAGGTGTTAGTTTAGTAAGATTCATGTTTCCTCGGGGTCATGAGGCAGATGGGAACGTGGAGGTTTCGGGTGTTGTGTCTGATATGTCTTTTTTTTTTTTTTTTTTTTTTTCGGTACTCGGGCCTCTCACTGTTGTGGCCTCTCCCGTTGCGGAGCACAGGCTCCGGACGCGCAGGCTCAGCGGCCATGGCTCACGGGCCCGGCGCTCCGCGGCATGTGGGATCCTCCCGGACCGGGGCATGAACCCGCGTCCCCTGCATCGGCAGGCGGACTCTCAACCACTGCGCCACCAGGAAAGCCCTGATTTGGCGTCTTGTGCTGGACTCCACTTCCACCCCTGCCAGCCCCTTCCTCCTTGTCCCCTCGACAAGGGAGGCCCCGGGCTGTGGGGACTATCATGTGATCCAGCTGTGACATCACGGCTGATGCCCCCCTGAGTGATAGCAGATGAGGGTGGAGGCCAGCAGGGCAGGTGCCCCTGGACCATCATGGGGCGCTGAGGAGGGCTGATCCCCGGCAGGGCGGGGTCCTCCTCGTCAGGGCAAAGGCAGAGCCCACTCCCCGTGTGGGACGTCCTGACCCCCTCAGGACCCATCTCCAGAAACCAGACTCTCACCGGATCCCGTTTCCATGCGTGTTGAGTGTATTTCTACTTTTTGTGGGCAGGATGGGAGGTGGCATCCTGTTTACTCAGACACCGAGGTCCCAGACTCAGAGATCCCTAGGAGATGACTTTCTGTCCTCCCCAGCTCTGCCCCCGACCTGATGAGGTGCCGGGTGGAGAAGGGCCTCCGGTCCGCTCGTGTCCTTTTATTTTTTCCTCTAACTTCTGGTTCTTGAGGGCCAGTTTTATGTCCTCCTCCCCAATTTTTGGGCTTGGAAGTGAGCCTGGGGGTTCCCTGTGGACGATCTTTGATGAAGCGGAGTGAAGAGAACGTGAGCACGAAGCTCCCAGGACAACAGTAACTACGTCTCAGCTGAGTTCACCCCAAACTCTCCAGGCCCCTCCCTGCTGGCCCCTGGCCTCTGTCAGGGTGGCCCCCCCAACCCCAGTCCAGCTGGGGCTCTGCTGCAGGAGCCACAGACAGACAGACAGACAGACCGGGAGGCCGGGCCGGGCATTCGCACCCCACGGGGAGCTCCCAACTCCGAGAGCTGCCTGTCTCATCTGGGTCCATGCACGCACTCGGGACCCTCAGTGGCCGGAAGCCCCGGTGAGCTGCTTATAATGCCTGCATTGGCTGGGCTCCCTGAGGGCTGCCCTGGACGGCCTGACCCGCGGGTGTGGGACCGAATCCGGGCGCTTCGTCCTTTCTCCTGACGGGTGGGCTCACTGTCCTCTGCTGACCTACATCATCCCCAGCCGGGCAGCTTAAATCAAGAACAAGCCGCTAACCTCTCCCAGGTTCCGGGGTTAGAGGTTTGGGAGTCCTTCGGTGGGTGACTCTGCCTGGGCCTGGAGGGGCCTGGGCTGCAGTCTCTTGACATCCTGGCTGCGTTGTGGGCTGAGGCAGGAACTCACAGCGTCTCCCTACCGGGACCCACCCACTCCTTCCTTGTGGCCCCGCAGCCCTCGGGTCCACCTAGGGTCCCCTCCCAGACGACGGCCTGGCCTCACGGTCTCTGGGGACCAGCTCCTGGGGCCCCTGCACAGAAGCGGGGCTGCGGCTGGGGGTGGGCTGACATTTGCACAGCTGAAAGGAAACTCTTGTGAAGACGGACGCACACACAGGACAACACGGTGGGTGGCCCCTCCTTCCAGGAAGAGTAGAATCCCGGGGGGTGCAGCCTTGGGGCAGTAACAGATGGGGGTCCCGCTGAAGCTCATCCTGAGGGGTCCCCATAGGCAGCTTTCTGTCCGTGTGGCCTCTGTGACCCCAGAGGCCGACCCCAGGGCTGCCGCATTGGGCAGAGGGAGGGGCACAGCGTGTGTCACCGGACAGCCTCTTGGGCCCTGTTTGCAAACGGCCGTCCCACTCCCCCCAGGCTGGGAACGTCCCTGCAGCTGGTTTTCCTTCCCTGCCCTTTTGGCCAGAGATCACCAAGTGAAGTTCGTTCCTTTCTTTTTTGAGGTCTTTTGCTCAGAAAACAGAAAGTGCAGGTGACTGGCCTGGTTCTGAGCAGCATCTTCTGTGCGCCAGGGGCTCAGAGGGACCCAGAGAGTGTGCTGTCCACCCTCATGGACGCTGCTTGGAGTATAAGTCACAGGCGAGGGAGAGGCTCTTAACTCAGGTCGAAGAGCCAGAGGTCAGAGTCAGGGAGTGCCTGGGCCCCCGAGACACCGCTCGCTGGGGACTGGGTGCAGCCACCGCCCTGACCTGGGGAGACGTCCTCCAACCTACCCAGGACGTGCTGAGCTCACACATAGCCCACTGGGATATTCCACATTCAAACACATACTCTGGTTCTTTAGGTAAATAACTACCCTCACTCACCTGGTTTTAAAGCTATGTAGAAAACCCAACTTTAAATTCAAGAGCAGGAGTAAAATATTGGTGCTAAAACTCATGGAAACACTGACTCCCTCCCTTGAATGAAGTGTTATTTAAATGGAGGAAATAAAAATCATATAAACAGAGAACGCACAGCTGGGACCAATGTGATTAGGCCAGAATTGACCATCAGAGCCGTGATCCAGATACAGCGTGAGGTCCGTCCCAGGTGCTGCCCCCGTCAGCCTCTGAGACTGGGACGGCCACTAGGTCAAGCACCCACGCAGAGGAACCGGCCATCAGAAGTCGGGAAGGTCCTCAGACACGTTTCAAGCTCATTTTGTGCAGGTTTCTAGGGTGAGAAATGACCACATTGCAGGGGAACGAAGTCAAATTCACATCCTCGGCTGCCCTTATCCTCTGACACTTCCTCCCTCTGTGGCGATTGGGAGCATTTAGGCGCTGGTTTCATAGCAGGCTCGTCTCCTGGTCTGACAGGTGCCAGGCCCCCTTTCTTCTGGTGCTTCTGGTGTGTCCAGTCTGGGCCTGACCTGCGGCCATCCTCACCCCCTTCCCAGTGCGGGCCGCCTCCCTCCCACCTGAGGCCCGGCTCACCTGAGACGTTTGTCTGGCCCTCGGCTCGGGGGGCGCAGGTCCTTACTCCTCCCTCAGCCCTTTCCTTCCTTCCTTCCTTTGCTCACTTGCAACAGCTAGAGGTTTGACATCACGACAGACAACGGCCCAGGATGGCGACAGGGCTGCACAGCCGCGTTTGCCAATTTCCAAAACGAGAACGGAACCGAATTAGAGGCTCTGAAGCCCTCCATCCCCCCGCCCCCCGAGGGGACAAGGGGCCGGGTGTGTGGAGGCGGGGAGGGGATCTGAGGGACCAGAATGCGAGTCCGGGTTCTCTCCATGAGGGGCGTAGGCGCCGCCTCCGCCTTCAGTCCCACTGAGAGCAGCTCCGACGGGACACTGGGTGTCTGTCTTGACGTGTGTCCCCTGCGTGGAGGGCAGGAGACCATTCCCGCCTGGACAATTCAGAAGGTAGGGGTGGGCTGGGCAGCAGCGTCAGGGAGGGAGCTGGGTCAGCGCTCTCGGGGTGGATGGGCCAGCTCTCCTGTCGGTCAGGGGAGGAGTGGGTACTTCCTGGGGCAGACGCAGGCTGCCCGGGCTATCTTAGACCGTGTCCGACAGAGCCCAACGGAGGGGCAAGCAGACCCCCGAGGAAAATTCCAAACTCTCGTCGAGGATGCAGAGTGTGTGAGTGTGTGTGGGGGGTCTGCAGAGAACCCGCCAAATGCCTGGTTGAGGAAGAGATCTGCACACCCTTTGCAGGCGTGAGGCCCCCATGGTGATGTGAGTGGGTGAGACTTTTCTACCCCCATCTGTCTCCACTCGCCATGCCTCACCCCAAAGTGGCAGACCCCATGGTGGCAGCCTGGGGGTGGGGAGAGACCACACGCCTCCTTCCCAGGAACAGCTCAGGTATACCCCACCCGGTACATTGTAAAAGAACAGTGCTATCTGCCACCCAAGAATGGCTCAAAGGGAAAAGAGACACAGTGGAAATCCATACTCTCATCTGGTCCTGCTGAGAGTGTGAATTCCTGTCACTACTTGGGAAACGCAACACTGCTTGCAGCTGGATGTATAGACACACACACGATACAAGTGTTCCACTCCTGGCAAATACTCAACAGAGGTGACGCACTTGTGCACCAGGGACACCTGCAAGCGTGTCCGTAGCCATACCGACCATCAGAGCCTCAACCTGGAAGTCATCCCAACATCCAACGACAGTAAAAGGATAAATGACAATGGTACCGAATACGGCAATGAAATAAATCTCAGGAACATGATGTTGAACAGAAGAAACCAGACACAGGAGTCTATTGCGTAGAGCACAAAACAGGCCAAAGTCATCTACATTGTTGGCAAAGGAGCCGGACTGGTGGTGTCCTTGGGGAGGGTCAGTAACTGGAAGAAAACACATTGAA